CTCTGTGCAAATAACAAAGGAAAGCGCTTGCGTAAATGCCAGTTTCATGCAAAACGCAGGGTGCGAGGATCGTCGGGAAGGACGCATAAAAAAAATTGGAAAAACAGTCGAATTGGAAACTTCCTCATTTTTGAAGTCCGGTAAAAATGTCAGATAGTACAAGAATAACTTAAAATTTCATCTTTTGGCAAATTCATTATATTTTGATTATGAATACAGAGATCGAACACTGTAACATTCAATAAAATGGATTAATTCCCTAATTTGTCACCCTTAAAGGTGGACCCGGTGGGACTTGAACCCACTTCCATGCTGCACAGTAGCATTGCTCTAACCTTCTGAGCCACGGGTGCAGTTACCGAGCTGTCGAAATTCTCCTGTTATTTTGTTATAGATCATCGTACTGACTTTCGGCATTCGTAGCCGTTAGTGGCATCTAGTGAGTGATTTTTGAATAACCTTCTCACCGCAGCCAGCACTCATTATGTTTTGTTTATAGTGATGGAACAAACGTTGTTTTTTATGATGTTAGTAATATAGTCCTGCGAAGTTGTTCGTGTTTAACAAACTTCTAGTATGTAACCAGAAATAAAGACGAAATAAGGGCCATTCGTCTCTGGCAACTCATCAGAGAAATGGCCCTAAAGGACTATCCACACACATCAGGGCCGTGCCCGGGACGTGGACGGGGCGTCCTAGTTTGTATGAACTGCGGGCCCGTCCCGGCGCGCCGGCTCGGACACGGTCATGTGTGAACAAGTTCATACAAAATATACGCAACGGTATTTTTTGAACCCCTGACGGAGCACGGCCCGTCCACGACTCGGGCACGGCCCGGATATGTGTGGATAGACCTTTATACTTAGAGGATGGAAAAATTAGAAATCTGAAATAGTGCAGCGCCAACAACTGACCTGTGTGTACGTCTCCGTATATTTCAAAAATATTCTGTATTTATTGTAATAAAGATAATATCTCTAGTTATGGGGGGCTGTTCCATTCGGTGGTGTGAGAAAAACAGCAAAAGATCTAATTATAAAAGAAACGGACTCACTTTCATCGGTAATTAAATATGTAATTTTGCAATTTTCATCCATTATAGCAAAGCTCAAGTTAAACGATTTGAAGTGACTCAATTGACGACACCCCTCAATTGTTTCGATTTCTAGCTGGCCAATCGGAGCGCAGTTGTCACCGTAATGATTTAGCAGAATAGTTTTCAAACAAATGAAATGACATATTTTCGTCTTTATTTCTGGTTATATACTCGATGTTTACAAACGACCCTGTAGACGAAGGTTCCAAGTCATAATTGTCACTAACTGCTCTCGTTCCCCGTTCTACATTTGTCCGAAACAATAATTGTCAAATAAGTTATACTCGATCACATTAAGACATTGTAAAGTAAGACGCTTCATTCGTATTATGCATCTTTCTAATTTAGCCGCGTATTACTCATTTGACAGTAGTTGTAGCGGACAGATATCGGATAGAGAAGGAGAGTACATGGCCTGAGACGTATCCAAACGTGTCAAATGTCAATCTTAGAAGTGACAGACTAAATCGTTTTCCCAAAGATTTTTCTTTCTGATTATTTCCTTTATTTTTTCCATCCTCTAAGGTGTTTATTTAGTTTTCTCATTATTATTCAAAAATTAAAGAGACGAAACTATGAATCAGCATGGATAAATTAAATTATCAGATAATTATAAAGATAATTATCAAAGATAATAATTCTTGATAATTTTGATAATTAATTTTGATAATTTTGAACTTTGATATAATACAAGTTCGTAATGACAATCTATGTGTCAATGGTTATAAATGTTTTTTTTTGTATTTTTGTACCTTGGTAACCCTATGGTTTGCACTGTAGGCACTGGATAACGAAGTCCTAGTTGGACCAATTTGAAAAATTAACACTGTTCTAATTTTGTTTTGGTCTGGAAATTTTGGGAAGTGCCTTAGAGTGGATTCCGTTTGCTCTGGTACTCATAGTACAGTCAACGCATATCAAGGTAGTAGTAGATTGACGTATCTTTCGTTGCACTGTAGAAGATTTTCGAACAAAAATGTGTGCTGTTGACTTTACATTTCTTACTTTGAGATCAAGTAATTGCTGTGGGTGTCTGGCCTATTATTGTATTATTTTTTATACCAGCATTATTTGAACTACAGTTAATAGTTAATAGTCAGGCTGAGTAAGAAGGTTCATAAATCTCTCACAAGATGTCGCTTACGGATATGTTCCACATTTCCCCACTGTTGGCGATCCTAAACTTTGATTTAATGTTTACTCAGTCAGATATTTTGTCAGTGCTACTGCGTAGATAGTACTACGCCAGTGGGGTTTTGTGGAATAAAATTAAATCAATTTAGGATCCCAAAAGGAGAATTTTTTTACTAATTCTGGTTAAAATTTTACTATATAATATACTTCGTAAATTTACACTTTTTCTGATCAAAAATCAGAAAAAGTGTAAACAAAGAAGCAGTGATTGTAAACATTTTTCTCTAGTCAACAAATTACAGTTAAGGAAAACATCGTCAGAATTTATGACAAATGACATTTTCAAATGATACAAAAAATGTTAGATAGATAGATAGATAAACACTTTATTCACTGATATAACACAAATACAGATTAAGCATAAAAGAAAAAAACAAAACATGATTGTCATAGCAGTGAAACGGCGCTGACTCAGCATATGCCAAAGTTTCCTAAGGCGCTGGTTTTCAGTCAGAACCAACGAGAGGGATTAAGTTATTTGAAAGCAAAAATATAACGACTACGAGTAAAGTTATACATTGACAATAATAATATACATAGTAAAGTGTAAATAGTGCATCTAAAATAACCTGTTATGTTATTTTATTTTATAATAACTTTCCGTTTAATATTTGGAAGCTCTGATTCTTTAGATTATTTATTGGTCTTTGAAATAGATTAAGTATGCAAAGATGACAATTTGTCATTTAATTTATAATGGTTATTAAAACCAGGCCAGTCATAGCTGGAAGGTTAGGTCACTGTCCGCCAACGTAGTCGACTATGGCCTAAACTCTCACCAGAGCGGAGACCCATGCCTGGCTGTGGAACGTATATATGGGTTGACGATGAGTTATTATAATATTATAACAATTTTTTATCTATAAAGGTAGTAAACATTTTTTTTTTTTCTCACGGAATTTATTAAAACCCTTTGGCTTTTGAAACGAAATTAATGAATTTATTTCAGACAGTGGGCACACTATATGGACATATTTACATGTCCATATAGTGTGCCCACTGTCTGAAATACCATTTATTTAACTTTTGATAGCTCGAATTGTAATCAGTGTAGCGATGTCCTTATGCGTTTCTGATTCGATTTTTTATAACAATCGATTTTATTTATGAAGTAGTTTTAATCGTGAATGTGAGCGAGTTCAAAAAATAAGATATTGTCCAATTGGGATCGTGATGTTGCGTTTGACAATTTGTGTACAAGAATTAATAATTGAGGATTCAAGTGATGATTCCCGTTCATATGGAGAAGAATCCGACTATAATTAATTTCATTTCATTATAATTTATTAGGGTCGTATTCCAGAACTCTACTCAATGCTCAAGTCAGGATTTGAGCAGACTTGAGTATGATTTCAAGCACTGGAAATACGACCCTAATGGCAAGGACTTGAGTATGATTTTCAGTGCTCACTGCAATACTCAAGTCCTGACTTCAGTATTGAGTAGAGTTCTGGAATACGACCCTTAGACAGGTACCAAAATTTATAAACTCGAATAATCTTCGTTACATAATCTGTTGACTCGATAGACATCGGAGCTAAAGAGTACATCGCTTCACTAAAATTAAAAAATAAAGGAGTACAGAAAGTATTGCATTTTTTGTCTATGGTTGTATGTCAATAATTACGGAACTTCGGGGGTATGCAAATGGCAAATGTTAACTAAATGGTTGGACGGAGTATAGAAAAAATTACTGAATGAAATGTTGCTTGATAAAAGACCCAACATTTCTGTCTGATGCTAAAAAAATACTAGTTTTAACTGAAAAGCGCTAACTACGCTTTGGCCGAATGATTGATTAATTCATCTTTCGTAAACAGCGCACTGGGTAGTTATTTTCATACAGCTACCGCCATCTATCCGTTTTGAATATAACTAAGTTTGTTTACGTCGCGACACCAACGCCATCTGTCAAGGTGATTCGAAAGCATTTACACTTAACAAAAATTTTTATTTGTAATTGTGGATTATGACTAAGTTGAACAATAATAGCTATAATATCTGATATTACCTTAATTTAATAACGAAAGAAGAAATAATCGTCGACTTTTTCGTCGCCTAGACACGGAGAAGTCAGTTGTTTAAAAAAAATTGTTAATAACTTTACCATCTCAGGAGTTTCAAAAACCCCCGGAAAGGCATAATGATTTCCCGCAAACAAGTGTCAGAAAATTAATTTATTGAAGAAAAAATAATATCTAAGATAATGGCAGTATGGCTAATTTTACTTAGATTCACTAGCCTGTTCTGAAAGACTAAAAATTTTAACTACTTACGCCCCAAAAGTTGTATTAAAAAAAAAATTATATATGTATACGTCATTTAAAAATAAATAATAAGTCCAATACTTATTTTTTTCCATTCTCTATGTCCAATACTAATCCAAATGTTGACAATCTTTTTGCCACTGATTATCAAACTTAAAATTAAATTTTTTACACCGTGTTTTGCATCGACTTGCACGCCACACAGCGGAATATCTCAAGAATTAAAAATATTCTATATTCAATTTCAGGAGTCCGATAATCTATGGTGGGACGCGTTCGCGACAGAGTTCTTCGAGGACGACGCGACGCTCACGCTCACTTTTTGCTTAGAAGATGGTCCTAAGAGATATAGTAAGTTGTATTGCCCTTTAATTTCTTATAGACTTATGCTTTCTTTCTATTATAGCACCACCTACAGACTTTATGCCAGTTGGCAGCTCATGACAAATTTTCATACAATATTTCGAAGTGCAGCTGCAGCGCTCGCGTCAAAGGCGTCCCTAGGCAGCGTGCTTTGAACGCTATCGCCAACGACTTGAATCTATAGACGAGAACATTCACAGACAGACAGACTATGTTCCAAACAATTGTTGAATTTAAGATAATAAGATATAAGGTCCATTTGCCTGGATGGATGGCCCTTATTTGTCTCTGGTTATATACTCGATGGTTACAGATAAGAAACTGACAGTCGCTAATGTCATTTATGGTTTATAGTACCTAATGTTCTCAAACATACTCGGAAATATTTGCATTACTTTCAAATAAAGAATCCACAAAGCTAGTTATGGAGCGTGCAACTGTATTTTTTTTTTTAAGAAATATAAATGAGCATTTATTTCCATGTCGCCCGACGTTGAGAACCACGATGCACACCTAAATAATGTCCAGCTTTCTTTATAAAAGTGTCTTTCCATCTTTTCCTCGGTCGACCTTTACCTACGTCTCGTTTCCTGTCTTGCTATCCACTCAGTCACTCCTTAGAATTACTAAATTTTAATATTAAAATTTTCTCATTTTCAGCGATAGGAAGGACGCTGATACCCCGGTACTTCCGGAGCATATACGAAGGCGGGGTGTCAGAGTTGTACTACACGATGCGTCAACCAAAAGAATCCTTCCACAACACTAGCATCACATTGGATTGTGACCATTGCACCATGGTGACGCATCACGGCAAGCCCATGTTCACTAAGGTACACTTCTATTGAGTTCTACTAGCCTGGTACCATATTTTAGATATTAGATGACAATTACTGCTGTTTTCTGCAAGCTAGGCATGTGCACAAAGACAAAAATTACTCGTAAACATTACATCACTAGGTTTATCTCCAAGCCGTGAAATTACTGATAAAAATAACGTCACACATGTTATCTCCAAGACGTGAATTTACACACAAAATTTAAGTTACGTATGCTATCTCCAAGCAACGAAATTTCTCACAAAAATGACGTCACACATGTTATCTCCAAGATGTGAATTTATCTATAAAATCATGTCACGTATTTTATCTTCAAGCCACATATTTACACATAAAACTTACGTTATGTGTGCTACCTCCAAGCCACGAATTCACACAAAATTTACGTTACAGATGCTATCTCCTAGCAACAAAATTACAAAAATTTCGTCACGTGTGATATCTCTAACCTGTCTATTTAAAAATTACGTTGCGTGTGTTATCTTCAAGGCGACAATTTGTATACAAAAATGACGTTACACGTGTTATCTCTGAGCCGCGAATTTACTCTCATAAGTTACGTTTCGTTTGTTGTCTCCAAGACGCGAATTGAACAAAAAAAATTACGTATATACGTCTCTTGTGTTAACTCCAAGCCGAGAATTTATGTACAAAATTTACGTCACGTGTGTTATCTTTAAGGCGCAAAATTACTCGTAAAAACGTCACGTGTTACCTCGCGACGAAAATGAGACCCTGAGACAAGTTGACAAGTCCCATGTGCCTGTAATTTCACCAGCACCCTTACCCTTCAAGAACCGGAACGCTAGACGAACGGACGGACGAAATCTTTCACAAGGAGCTCTACTGCTTTCTCGTGCACAATTCTGGACGTTCCTGACCACGCGCGATAGATTGACCGTGTAAAGGGGTTTAATTTAATTGAAAACCAGAACCGTACAGCACGAAATAAAATAGGCAGATGGATTGTCAATTTCAACTAACGGCTAACTTGAAAGACAGTCTGAACCAGAGTAAAATACTAAATATAACTGCCACTGTGACCGAACGGTTAGTATCCTGGTCTGCTATGCAGAGGTCCTGAGTTTGATTGCCGGCCCGGAAGAAATATTTGTGTGATTAACATTTGTTGCTCTCGTGAGTTTGGGTGTAATTTGTGGTTGTTTATGTGTGTGTCGATGGCACCCGCGATCAGTGGTGCCAGCAGCTTGATTTTGATTGCCTCTCCCAATCGGAAACTGCGTCTTTTCCGAGTCGAGACGCATAATTGCGATTCACAACTGGCCGATCGGAAACTTTTGACATGATTTCGAGACTGCCCGGTCAGATTGATTCCAATTTGCATCAAAATCGCTGATTAGGCAATTTTTCACCATTTGGTTATTTCGACAAAAAAACGATTAGCAATTCGGCGATATTTAGGCTACTTAATAAATGTCTGGGGATTTACAAACTTGATGGGGAATTTTGAATAGGAACAATTTCAAACAACTCGTTTGTGTTTTTCTACATGTGGTGAATTAGAGAATAGGAACTCTGCTTTCTTTGATTTTTAGGGATTTTAAATAATGAACATTGGCAACTCTGGCTTGGGCGAATATCAAAAGTCTGTCAACACTGCCCGCGATACAGGGTAATATCAATGGCAACTTTTAACTAATTCAAATTTCCTCTCTTCCATTTTCCAGGTGTGCACAGAAGGAAGGTTAATCCTGGAATTCACATTCGATGATCTCATGCGGATCAAATCGTGGCACATGGCAGTAAGGACGCATCGGGAGCTCATACCTCGACAGGCGGTCCACCCGCCTGACCACGCGGCTCTGGACCAGCTATCTAAGAACATCACACGGCAGGGCATCACTAATTCTACACTTAATTATTTGCGGGTAAGAAATTCTTACGATTTATGTCGCTCTCGTACTTTTAGACCAAATTTCCAACCTTTTTGGCGCATTACCCACTTAGGTAAGATACAAAAAAAAAAACTTCTAAGCCCGCCACCACAAAAAAGAAATGAAAACACGTATTGTTTATATTAACTTAACACAAAAAATCGCGGGGATAAAAAGAATTGTAGTGTAGGTACTTTATATAGATAATTCAGGTTTTTTTTCTAATGCGGTAGCACACCCTAGACAGCATCAACGCCCCCCAATTGCTTCCGAGGCCCTTACCGTCACCCTAGGACTTTTCCTCTGGGAGGCGGCAGGGACCACTTTGGGAAACTAATAGACTAAACCTATGATTATACTAAACTAAAACTAAACCTATAATCCACATTACATAATTTAGGTAATGCAAAATAATACTTTCTAAGTAATACTTTTTAATTATGATAAATATATAAATTACCTATGAAGTACTTACACTTTCCAACATTGTAATACAAGTCTTGTATTTGTATGTTCAAAACACAAAGTCGTCTTTAACGAACGGCTCGCTGACAGCCTTTGTTGCCGTTCCGTTAATGTCGTAACAATGTGCGGGGCGTAGAGTGACGTTTCTCTTAACTTTTTTATTCAATGATATTAGTGATATTAGATTAGTAAAACAAGTGCTTACTCATATATAGTAAGACTCTTTAGTTAAGGACATTCGTCATAACTTAAATGTCTTCTCTGTTTTCCAGTTATGCGTGATTTTAGAGCCAATGCAAGAGCTAATGTCGCGGCATAAGGCGTACGCGCTGTCTCCTCGCGACTGCCTCAAAACAACGCTATTCCAGAAGTGGCAGCGAATGGTCGCACCTCCCGGTAAGCCCGGTACTTACTTTTATAACAATTACATAGATTTTTAAGTTTAATTTTATGTATTTTATACTCAAGAATTTCGATTATAATAATTTTCTTTGATAATTACCCGATAATTATGATTATAATTATCTGATAATTATGATCATAATTATCTGATAATTATTCATGCTGATTAATAGTTTTTCTGTTTAATTTTTAAGTAACAATGACAAATAGTGAGAAAATCAAATAAACACGAAGGAAAATTTTTGGGACAAAGATTTTGTTTGTTACTTTTTTTGATATTGACATTTGACACGTTTGGATATATTATCTCTGATACAAACATGGCACGATATTGCAGGCGGTAGCATTTTATCGTTCCAATAAATTATATAAATAATATCAAATTTTTTTATAAATTCATTCATTCATACATAATTATCGTGATAATTACCATGATAATTATCAATGTTCATAACACTTCGAACCCTAATTTAATATATTCTGCTATATAACAGTCATGTGACATTATTTATTACTCATGCAATAGAATGCACCATGAATCCACCTCTATAGTTTTACCCGTTTTTCTAAAATGGCAATAGCAAAATTTTGAGTTTGCAAAATGGCTTTGAAATTTTAAAATTTTGCTAAAATTGCAATTTTATGATATTCATGTTCTGTCGTTGCAGAGTCGCAACGCCCAGCAAGTAAGCGCCGCAAGCGCAAAGGCAGCGCAGGCGCCAACGCCGCGCCCCCAGCGCCGGCCAAAAAGAGATCGCCCGGACCCAACTTCAGCCTCGCCAGCCAGGTAACTAACCTCTCATTGAACACAAACCGGCAGATTTAGCGGAAAACTAGTACAATCCACAAACGAATGCAGGTCTTGTTTTTAGAAAAGTGTACTTCAGGTATTTTCCTTCTTTATTTTAGATATAACATAATTTGAAAATAAAGTATTAATTAATACAAAGATTGACGAACACAGAAAAAATTCCATCGATCCATGGTTTCGAACCATCATTTTCCAGCAAACCGTACCAGATCTATGCCAACTAATGAGCCATCTCTAGTCAGCTGCTGGTAGCTGTAAAGGTACCTGGCTGAGTGAAGAAATAGATGATTTCACACAGATCTTTTGAAAAAAACAAAGATCTGCAGAAGATGTGCTTGCTGCACATAGAAAAATTCGTAAGGACGGATCCAAGGAATTTTTTCTAAGTTTTCGATCGTTGTATTAATAATTACAACAAACTAGAATAATTTCACAAAAACAATTGAATATCATGGTGGTCAAAACATCATGACATTCAATAAAGTTACACATTACAAATATAATATTGATTTTTATCATGATTAAATATGTAATATTGGATAAGCACTCCAATAGACTTTACAGAACACGAACTAGCGACCTTGCCATAATATGGATGGTCTTTCTATACATGTTTAAATTTAAAGCAATTAAAACGTAGCAGTTTGCATTAATATTGGACATAACCGGTTGAGGACTTTACTATCTCAGTTAACCGTGACCATGGGACCTGTAAACTAGAAACGTTGGTAAATATTTAAAAAACTAAGAACTTGACATTATTAACTTTTTAATCTTTAACATTTTTGTTCCAGGACGTAATGGTAGTGGGCGAGCCATCTCTAATGGGTGGCGAGTTTGGCGACGAGGACGAACGTCTGATCACCCGTCTAGAGAACACCCAATATGAGGGCGACGCCGGTGATTGGCCAGCGCCACCCCCCGCCTCACCCGCCAAAACACCGCCCGCCACGCACTGATCTACGACCAACTTGTGCTGTCCTGGTACACGATGACATGAAATTATCGAAACAAAATGAGATACATCATCGATTTATTGCCGCACTATCGAAAATTTAGATACGCGCTATCCAAATGGCGCGAGGGAATCTATCGAGATAAATAAATACGATTGTCTTGGCAACTTATGCTCTCCTGGTACAGGAACCACAATTGAACAATATGAAAATGATACCTACTCGTATACTCGCCTGGTACAATTACTATAATGGAATTTACCGTTTACTCGTACTATTTCTGAACAATTACAATGAAACCCGGAGAGAAACAATAATATGCCTTTTAACCAATGCATTTTGCCAACACGGATGCAAATTGAAAGATAAAACAAATAAGTCGATAGTGATGGGACTTGTCGATAGTGCAATGTCGATGATTTTCATTAGTGATCAACAATTTCAATAAGTGCGATTGTGGTGTTTCTCAGACTTTTATAGTGCTGCGACGTCTTTATCGATTATCGATATCGCTCGGGTATTTTTAGTGTAAAAAAATTATATATAATGTCACCATTCTTTATATTATTTGTCTATTTTTCTGTTCTATATAAATGTGTTTCTAAGTACCAGGCAGTTAGGAAATATTAAGAGATTTTGTATATAAAGATAATACTAAATTACACTCGTCTTAAGATCTATTTTTGACCAACTTATGATGCCGTGGTAACCGTTGACAATTTATCGATAAAATTATCGACAAAATTGATGTCTATAGCAGTGCAACTATTGCCGGAATAGGGACGTTTCGATGATGATAATATGGTATTTTACAAAACAATAATAGTGCTGTGACGTTGTAGTATCGATTATCAATGTATCAAATTTTATTGGAATTGAAATGTCATCACAAGTATAATAAAACTTTTTTTATGTAAATGAAATGGGAAACGAGTTATAGCTGCTGCTTTCACAACAGTTACGAGATTAGTACGTGTTGTTAGATTAGTACGTGTTGTTGGCAGTATTATCAATCGTCGCCACTGCAACCAAATTTAGAGTTGAGCAACGCGGCCATAGTGTCGATGCCGTTATGGTAGACGGGCAGCGTTAAAACACTATAAAAGATCATTCGAACGCAGCGTCGCAGACGCCGTGTCTATAGCGTATATTTCCATAGATTATAATGCTCCGTTCCGCAAATGTTTGGGCTCGACGCCCACTGACCGAAATGCATGGCAGAGGATTATTTAGATGACGAATAGTAATGTACCTTAACGTTATAATCTTATAGTTGAAATTTCAATGATAATGGTCGTAGCTACAAAAACAAGGCGCCAGTAACTTTGGGGATACCGTGCCGGCAGCCTCCAGAGAGATGTTTCGGCAGCCCTCCAAAGGTCACTAAAATCTTCTTCTAGGAATATAATTTTCATTTTATTCTTAGCAAGAACTGCTATGAGCAGTACTAACATTTAATCTACCATTTTTAAAAATCAATTAGTAATAAACCAGGAACGTTGCGACTGATTGAAAAGACGATAGGCTCGAGCACGATATCATGACAGTATGCTTAAGGATACCGTGACATAATTGTCGTCAGTGTGCCGAAGAATCCCATGCCAAGCCGTCCACCCAATGGGTGCCAGGCCTTAGTGCACAGTAAACGACGCAAGATTGATTTTTTTTAGTGAAATGTATCTATTAATATTGACTATCAATTTTGCATAAAATGTTTTTGTTTTATAATTGAAGAAAAGTAAATTAAAATTTGTACAGGGTCAAGCCACGTCAAGCTAGACACTTATGATTTAATTTCAACACTTGCGATAAGGACGGTCGAAAGTTTAGTGGCAAGCTTGAAGAGCTCTAGACTGTACCATATGGAATTGAATAGGTACGACATTATTATAAATAAAGCACTTTTTTATTTGTAAATAAATGAGATTACTGTAGGAAACATTGACGTTGAAATTTTCGGTTATTTATGTAAACAATTAAATAATTTAAAAAACAAATGCAGTTGTAAATTTTGTTATATTACAACAGTAATTATAGCAGCTTAGTTAATAGTATTCTGAATATAATTTTGACACAATGGATAGTGGACATACTATTTATTCATAGTATTTGTTTGTTTGTATTGTCTATTGAAAAATAAAAACAATTTGATAGACTATGTGAAAAGTTAATTAAATTTATTTTTGTTAATTTTATTATTCAGCAGTATCGTATTCGATTCATCGATATATTTTATCGATACAGTCGCAGCACTAGCACGGCGATTACGTTTTGTAAGATGCCCTGTGTAATATTGTAAAAATTTTGTACAATGCTAATCTGTGAACTATTGCAAATTTTGCGGTATCTCAACATATTTTAGCGGTACTCCTAAAGATAACCAATTTTGAAATTTTAGAAATTTTCGAACGTATTTTTAAAATGACAACGACAACTTTTAAAATGATCACGTTTTCGTAAATTTTAGAAATATCGAATATAGTTCTCAATTTTTTGGAATTACATTCGATTGATATTTATTTTCGATGCATCGATTTTGTTTTCTGTGCATCGAAACTGAATAAGGGCGGCTTCAAATCTGATGCTTATAGAAGCATTACAGTGGCACCACTGTGGCGTTGTAGTCACGGCGCTATTAATTTTCATACAATACAATACAAATTTAATTATTGTACACCTAAAACGTAAAGAAATACCATACAATTAAATTAAAAATAAGCAGTGGTAAAATTGGCGGCCTTATCGCTTTAAGCGATTTCTGCCAGACAACCTTTGGATGGAAGTAGTTATATAAATCACAGAAAAAAGAGGTTGGTGTATGAAGAATTACTAATCAATAGATAGAAAATCGGCAAATAAATACAAATATATATACTATATTTTTTTTCATATAACATTTAGAAGCGCAGATGCAACGCCACAATTAGTGAACTAAAAATTGCTGAAGCGTTACAAACGTGCGGCTGTAAACCACTGCAGCGTTTAATTCGAAGGCGTTCTAAATATCGATATCTCTATCGATATATCTGCTCAACACTAGCACTGGAGCTACGAAATTATAAGTTTTGGGGCACGCATAACACAGACACCCAGAATTTAGAAAAAATCCGACATTTTTCCAACTGGAAATTTGATCATTTATGTTTAGTGTCGTCCGTAATGGACGAAGAAGTTGAAAATTTGCAATAGTTAGCAAAATGTATTAAAATATTGAATTGTATTAATTTGAATTGGACCTCGGTACACACGGAAACATGTCAAATGTCAAAATATAAATAAAAATAAATATAGGCCTTTACGGATAATGTATGCGCTTGTTTCTTTTTCAAACCTTTTTTTAGCACTGTACTCTTGAAGGGTCAATTTTGGTAATTTCCAGGTTAGTTAAAAAGACTACTTTTACACAAACTCTTACCAATTACTTCCATATAACTAACGTAGTTATATCCGTCGAATATTTGAATGAAAAATCTTTGAATGAATGAATCAATGAGTGAAGAATCTTCTTTCACGCTTAACATTTTGAATATTTACTAATATTTTTTAATTGAAGCATCTATCTCTCTCTATCTAGTATCTTGTGACAATAAACTCACTTTCGATCTATCCCGTCTTGACATCTTCTAGATGTTGTAAGTTTCATTCATTTAGAAAGTGGCGCTCCGCTCTCATTGACTTACAATTATGTGGATG